GCTAAACCAACTGAACACAAAATTGTGGAAAGTGAGGTGTCTCCGTTTGCTGTGCATAAACTCTCCAGGTGATGCTTTTCACAGTGCATAGTTTGTATCCTGAAGAGGTAAATTGCTCTAGGTTCAGTACTGTGAGCCGTTGGTGCCTGGAATTCCTCCTGACTCCAGGGAAGTTGTGTGTGCAGAACTGCTAGGATTGTGTCTCCCATTAATTTAATCCTCAACTAGTTGAGGATTAAAATAAAGGTTTTATGAAAAGAAATCATTCTAGCCTTTTTTTCAGTGAAGCTTTCAGTTCTTTTGCCAAGAAAATAGAATACATATTGTGAAAGCTAAGGCAGCATTGCTCAGTGATGAATGCTTTTTGCAGGTAGATATCATTTCAAAACCTTGCAAGCTTTCTTCATCCTTTTTGCTCAGATACAAGCATTTATTAACTCTTTTTGGGGGGTTTGGTTGATTGGTTGGTTTTTGTTAGCGCTTCCTGTGTGAGAGCACTCAGCTTTTTCTGAAGAGTTGAATTTGTGGGTGCAACTGGGGAATCTAATCCTGTAGCTCTTACGTGTTACTTTTGGCGGTGTGAGACGGTTGCCTCCTTGACGGTCGTAACCTACTTTGTCACCTTCTAAACAACAGCCTGGCACTTCGAGACACCAAAACCTGCTGCCTGCCATGGTCATTTAAAATAGCGTAAGCACTGGGGTTCTTTAAATAGATAGTGTCTCGTGCCATGCGTGTGTCCTTACTGTAAGCCTAATCGAGCAGATCTGTGATTATTTTGCTTCCTGCAAGTCTCTGTCTCTCACCAGTGGTCATGTTTTGTCTGTTTTGTTGCAGGTATGGTTTCGACAGGGAGCATTGTAGGACAGTGCTGAGATCCTGCAACGGTAATATTGGGGCATCACTGGAGTATTTGCTGTTGCAGTGCTTTGCAGAAAGATACGGAGAGAAGATGCAGGTTTCTGCAGCGGCTGCTCAGGCCAGTCGAGGAGAATGTTTAGAGCAGAGACAAGAAGAAGCTTTTGTCCTCCGGTCAATCTACGGAGAAAAATTTGTGGAAAGAATTCAAAACCGAGTTTGGACTTTTGGTTTGGAGCTGGAGTACCTAACAAACAGGCTCAGCAAATCTAAACAAAAGGGTAGTGGTACTAGAGAAACAACAAAGCAGACTTCACAAGAAATATGTAAATTTTATCTTCAAGGAGGCTGCAGGTTTGGTTCAAAATGCAGATTCAGACATGAAGTTCCTCCAGATCACCCTCTAAGACCAGCCAAGAGCTGTGTAGATGATGCCCATCTCAGACCTAACAGTGATGACTCTCCCATGTATGAACTTGAAATAAGATTTCCTGAAGAAAACAAGTATCCGCTCCAGGCACCTCTCGTGGCATTTTATTCCACCAATGAGAATCTACCTCTTGCTTGTCGTTTACACATTGCTGAGTTCCTCTTTGGAAAAGCCTTGGTAGCTGCGGAGTCTAGCGAACCAGTGGTGTATGCGTTAGTGACTTCCTTAGAAGATGAATCTGAAATAAGCGAGTTGCTTAAAAATACTCACCACAAGTATAGCGTTCCTCCTCTGTCCCTGCTGGCAACGCCTTCAGTGAGGCCGCGTGCAGATGGTTCGTCCGGTTCAAATCAAATGTCGGAAGGTACACCAAATTTCCCTCCTCGCTTCTGGGCTGAGAGCAGTCGAGAGAAGGTGGAGAGCACAATTCAGGCATCTGTTCCCAATCTATTTCTGGAGGTTATGGTCATGCAGTGAGCCAGATCCATAATCTGCCTGTGCCTCCGGAAGTCCCTTCCTTAACAGAGGTGCAGCAGAAAGGTTTTCGGTTTGCAAGAACTGAGTGAAAGGAGTGCACAGTTAATGAGTTTTGGTTTGTGGAGTGAATGAGGCCCGTTTCCACACAGTTGCTAAAAATTGAGAGAGTGGGTGTGAGTTCACCAAAATACTACAGACCTGCACTTGGAAGGGATTGGGGAAGGTTGTCTGCAAGCTTTGGCACTTCTGCTACTCACCAATTCGGAAACATCTAGAAATTTAAAAAAAAAAAAAAAAGAAAAAAGAAATTACTAGCCCTTACCCTAAATTAATTTTGTAAAGTTAGAGTAAACGTTTCAAGCACGTCTGGAATGTTTCCTACGGTATCATCTCTTTTTTGCATGTGCACGCAACTAGGTTGACCTCACAGGGGAAGAGGTGGCACCCCCAGTCATTTATGGCAGAGTGACAGCAACTGAACGGCATAGATGACTTCCTAGCTCCCACTTCCGGTGCTGCCTCATCTAAGGCAAACTTTGTTAAAGAGAGCTTGCAAGAATAATTGCATCACATTTTAGAGCACCTAAATGATGACAACCTAATTTTTTTGATTGTCGTAAAACCACTGTTTTTTTTTTTTTTCAAACATCTCCACAGAAGGATAGCGTTGTTCCAGAAATTGAAATTGAATAGAGGTTTCAGATAATCTTCTTTATGTTATAAAATACCTTCTTTTTTTGATAAATACAGCCTCAAAACTTTTGAGGGCTGGCTTGTTGTGTGAGCAAATTCCCCTTAAACTGATAAGAAGTAGGCCACCGAAGTACCTGGTCCAGTAAGTATTTTGCAGCGGCCTAAAAATGTTACGGCGTAGTTGTAATTCATTTAAGCTGGCACTGCCATCTCAGTCTTGTGCTACGTACAAGTGGTCATGTGGTGAATTGGACAGGGAAGTTGAAGCAGATGAAAAGCGTTCAAGAAGGGGAAGGGTTTTTCTGTTTGTTGGGCATGGGAGGGTGGTTTTTATTTTTTCCAGCCAAACCAGTTACTTAGTCTGGTTCTCCGTGTGGCCACCCAAACCAGGGTGCTGCAGAGCACAGAGCTGGTGCAGGGGTAGTAACAAGTGGGTTGGAGTTGGAGAAGTGGTGGCTTGTTTGACAGGGTCGGGGGAGGTTTGCTGGTAGTGTTGAGCTAAATGCATGTCAAAAACAGTCCTGCACATCCCTACCTCTAATCTAGCAAGATTCTCTACTGAGAACGCTCCTGCACCACGTGGCTCTTGATTTTTCTATAGTGCTGAGGGAGGTCCTGTTCCTTGATGATACGAATAACTAACTGCGTTTTCTGTCTCAAGTCTCTGTAGTGTCAGAGCCTCAGGAGGAGGAGGAAGTGGCGGAGGAGGAGGAGGAGGAGGATGAGCCTGACCAAGTCGTTGTGGAGAATGAGAGTTACGTAAACCTCAAGAAAAAGCTTTCCAAAAAGTATGATATGCAGGCAAAGTCTCTGTATAATGAAAATGTTAAAATCTGCAAGCAGTTTCGTCTGAAAAAGGTACAGTGTACAGAAAAGAGTATCTATTTTCACACTTACTTGCTTTAGAAAAAAGTATGTTTAAACAAGAGACTATCAAAACAGTTCTGTTCCACTTCAGTGGTGTTCTTACTACCAAGCTGCTTGTCTTCCAGTAGTTCAGCAAACAATGTTTCCAGCATCTGCCAACTGTTACACACTTCCTCCCGGTAAAGAAAGAAATATGCAGTGTAAAAGATACTGTTTTGGAAGAGTTACAGGCTAGTTTGACTTTTTTTTTTTAAATTAATCTATTGCAAACAAAATGCATTTGTTGTAGATGCAGAAGCCATTCATGGGAAAGGTGACTCCACTGTTTCGAGCAACCTGCAGGGAGTCTTGGTCTCTGTCAAAGCTGAGTTTTATCACTATCAGAGAGTTAGAAGAGCACAATTAACTGCAGTTTTTATCTGGGAACCTTACATCTGAGTCTCAGATTAGATGTTTTGGTAAAAGATTGCTCGGACTACTTCTTGCTAAGATATTGCAGATACCTCTAAGAATAACAGCAGCTGTAGTTCTGCAGCAGGATGCATTAAGGAGGCATTAGGCATCCGAAGGAGAGCTTGCAAATCTTGGATGAGTTCAGACTGCAAATAAATGCAAGATTTTACCAGAATAATTGAATACAGGATCAACTCACTAGGGGAATGTGGCAAATCATTGAAATTCAGTTGAAGTTCAGCTGGCGTTTTAGAAAATATCCTTTTACTCTATTTTATAGGCAAGCTTGATGCCAGAAGAACATTCTGTAGTTTATTTTATGCAGGAGGTCAGACTAAGGCCAAAAGGACCATTTACATCATCTAAAAATCGATGAACTTAGGGGCAGGACTAACCGTAGATACCAACTTTTCTTAATTATTTTTGTGTGTCAGTCTTCTAGGCACTTCCAGTCCATGTTGCAAGAAAGACAGAAGCTCCCTGCGTGGCAAGAAAGAGAAACCATCCTTGATTTGCTGAATAGCCACCAAGTTCTTGTTGTGAGTGGCATGACAGGGTAAGAGCGTGACTTGCCACGTAGAGTTTATATATCAAACTGCGCACAGAAGAATGTACAACGTAACCATGTCCTGGAAAGATAAGGGTCATGGTCTGTTCATAACCGGGGACAGGAATCCTGGATGATGTTTGTGTGCAGTGTGGCATTAATGAAACAAAGCACTTTTCAAGTGGAATCAGATCATCTTAATTTACGTGGATAGAAGGTTTGGGTTTTCTTGTTTTTATTGATTCCTGTTTTTGTCATGCAGATGTGGGAAAACCACTCAGATTCCTCAGTTTATTTTGGATGCTTCGTTGCAAGGCTCTCCAAACAGAGTTGCAAACATCATCTGTACTCAGCCTCGCAGGATCTCTGCCATTTCTGTGGCTGAACGCGTAGCCAAAGAAAGAACCGAAAGGATCGGGGTCACTGTCGGATATCAGATCCGACTAGAAAGTGTAAAGGTGTGTATGGTTTATTTGTTAGTTTTCGTTTAGTTCTGTTAAAATGTGTTTAGTGTTTGTCCGGCACGCAGAGTCTCCGTCCTTTATCCATCGTGTAGTAAGATCAGCAAGTCCCTATTGCTCCTCTCTTTTTATCTCATCCCAACTTGCATAGCCCACTTTACAGCGTGAGAGTGCTTTGCTGTGTTGTCGTTTCACTCTCTGCTGAGACAGTGGATGAAGGGTCTGAGAGTATTAGTAATGCTTCTGTCTCCTGGAAGGTTGGGCGAGGTATTTCCATTTGTCTCCAAGCGGAGCCTGAACTGTACAGCTTCAGTCAACCAGAAGGGGGGGTTGAATTTAAACTACTGTCCTGGAAGTGAAGTTCTGTCTGTGTTCCGGCTGATTGCTTTTTCCAAGGAATGTGTTAAAGAGATTCACTGAATCATTCCAGGGAGAGAGAGCTGAGTTCACACACAGCCACTTCCATGGAAAAGAACTTAGTTAAGATTTTGTGTTTTCCCCTTACAGTGATGCTCCTTGGTAAGGAGCAGATGCTCTGAGTTTTAATCAGCACTAATATGGAAATGAAAAATCTTCAGCGCAGTTTCCAGCAAGAATTGTTTGTTCCCTTTCTTTCAAAACCTGGCACTCAGCTGGAACCGAATGTTTTACAGCAACACATGCTCCCTCTGCGCTATTTTAAATTGCGCAAAGTCCAACTAAATGCTTTGTGCCTTTGTCTTGTTAAATTTATTTATCAGTACATATCATGTGATGATATGATTGCATTAGTAACTGTATTATTAACACTTCATACATTCAAGTCATCAGCTACCAGACTCTTGTACTGCACTACTGGCGTGCTGCTGAGAAGGCTGGAAGGAGATCTGACTTTGCAGGGAGTCACACATGTTATTGTGGATGAAGTTCATGAAAGAACAGAAGAAAGGTAAATAATCCTTTATCCCATAAGCAAAATGAGTACACTCAATCAGGAGCACCGAGGTGACTAAGATGCAAATAACTGAAGTCAGACTTGATGATCCTGTGGCAGTAATCTGTGCGTGGGACGATGGAAGGAGTCAGGTTTTAGGTTCTTGTCTTTGGCCGACATGGAGTTGCGTTGCAGCAGTTTGCAAAGAAAGCGCATCTCTATCAGATATTCTATGCTCATCTCATTGCAGTTGCTTTGAAAAGAGATTTAAGGTGGGGCATACGGGTTAAGAAGTAACTTTTTAACCACAATCATTTGGTCCTGATGACCTTATTCCTCCCCTGTTTCAGCTTTCACCCAATATCCTAATTCTTCACATACCCTTTTGGGAACTGTTTATCCTGACACAGATTTCAGTAAAGCACCTGCCAAAGACAAGTGCTCGCTTTATTTTCCAGGCTAGATTTTACTGGTGCTATGCATTCCTCATCCTGTCCTGCTCCAGCCTCCTGCAGTTATGCCCCACTTATCTGCTAATGCCAGGCAAATGACAATGTCTGTCGCTTTCTCTGTAAAATGAGTGACGCAAGCCCTTTTCTTGGGTGTTTTCCTTGTGGAACACTGAAATTTAGCGGATTTTGAGGAGGCTTTGACTGTGACCTGTTAATCTACAGCTCGGATTATATTTTTGACCTGATAAAAGGACTTGCATCTCTTGAGGATTCTTCTTCCTCCTGGTCTAAAATCGCTTTAAGCCAATCTTCTAGACATGGCACAAAAGCTAGTAATACGTAGGGGAGAATACAGTGAACTAGGAACAGTGGATAAGTTTGAGTAACTCCTTCCAGTGGGGAAGGAGCAAAAAGCAAATTCACCTGTTACTTTGAGTTAATTTGTTATCTAATGCTCTTGTGTTGTCATTAATGTTAGTGTAACTATTTTAGAGGGCAGCTGAAGCTTTTTGTTGTTTTTAAATAAAATTGCCAAGTAATCCTGACACGCTAGTAAGGGACAGCTAAAAAGTAAGTAGATTGGCATCCGTTAATTGACTGCATTATTAGCTGCCAGCCATTCTGCGAAGCTCATGCTATTGATGTGATAGTACAGCTGTGCTATTGGGAAAACCATGAAAGTGGACAGAACGGGGAGAAAGAAGAGAAATCTGAAAGTTAACACTGAAGGAATTTTAATGTCTTTTGCTTGTTTTCTTCAGTGACTTCTTGCTGCTGGTTTTGAAGGACATAATGTTTCAGAGACCAGACCTGCGCATTATACTAATGAGCGCCACCTTGAACGCAGAGCTTTTTTCTCAGTACTTTCACTCCTGTCCAATTATTAACATACCAGGTGAAAAAAAAAAAAAAAAGTCGTTTTTATTATCTGTTACATGCACTGTTTTAGAGGTTTGGTTTCAGTTTTACTGCTTGTGAAGTGTTTCTTTATTCCTTTGCAAGTTACGGTCTTAAACGGGGAGCAGATCTCGCTGACTCAAGCTACAAACAAGGGCTAATTTGCGAAAGGGCAAGATGAGGTTTTATGCAAGAGCTATGAGTCCAAGGAGTTATAAAGAAAGACTAATGACCTTCCTTGGAAAGGAGATGTGGAAATAGAGCCTTTTGGTGTTCTCTCAATTCCAGTAGAATTTTCTTTCCCGAAAGCCAAAATGACAAGAATTATATGGCACAGTTCTCTGAGCTAGTTTCACCACAACCGAAAACTCTGCTCTATCCTTGTGAACAAGCAGCAGTGAGAGGATCTAGTTGAATGCGTACACATTTAGCCAAACGTGCCTTTTGAATTGCTCCGTTACTACGTGGAGCATCATAGAAGCGCTTAGTCTGATGCATGTGTTGCCAAAAGTGTATCGGCCCTTCTCTGACAGAGAGTGAGTGCACGTTACCACACCATGCTAGGAAAACATCCACTGCTTTTCTAGACAGAAGCTGCATGGAAGACTGTAGTATAGATCTCAGAGCTGCACGTTCCCTTTTAGGTCACAGAGGTGGGGTAGGGATTAAAGTTGTGGAACCAAGGTATGGAATAATAGCACCTCTTGTTTTTTTACCTCTTTCCTGCGTGTTGTGTGGCATGTCGATTTATTACTCTCGCGCTCCCCTTTAGGCCGAACGTTTCCTGTGGATCAGTTTTTTCTGGAAGATGTGATTGCAATGACAAGGTATGACAGTGCCAGGCATGCTTAGATGTGTTTGAAGTTGCACTACTGACCTTGAGACTGCGCTACGTGTGAATTCACTGTGTGTGAATTTAAAAGCGAAATCCTCCCAAATCCCCACCATCACCTGCAGCCTTAGAGTTCTGTTAAAGCGCTGAATCTAAAGCATGCTTCTCATACTGCAGCGGGGTCTAGGGCCCCAGCCCCAAACAAGCCTTTCTGCATTAGATACTGCATAGTTACTCGAGAAGAGGTGACCTTCGCCACAAAGAGTTTGTCGCTGCTTATGTGTTGACAAACTTCTCTCCTCGTCGCTTGTCTCAGTGGTGGTTAGACATTGGGAAGCAAAAGAGACGTGAAGGTAGATTTCAGCATGGAAGGTGAAAAATGCAGGATACCAGACAAATGCTTTTATGTAAACCCTACGTCCCAGCAGAAGGTGAGACGAAGATCCCTGTGATCGGTTGTAGTTACTGGAGAGTCAGAGCAACTCAGATATTCCAGATAGTGAATTGATTAGCCACTGTAAATCGCTTGTAGACAGTTGCTCTCAGCTGTCCATTGAACTGTTAGGATCAAGTTGGCAGTCCTAGTCTTTCTCACCACAGCCTTCAAAAGACTAACATCTCAGGAAGGCAGGACATCTCTCCCTCCACCAGCCAGCCTTGGCGCTAAATTTCAGGACCAGTGACCACCTTCTAGCGTGAGAGAGTGTTGCACTGTGGGTGACAAGATTTCCTTGAGCATTGGTCCGTTCTGGAACTACCTTATCTCAAAGTCAGAGCCCCCACAGGGGGCGAAGAACCTGTTTTGTCATGGCTTTCCCCCAATAAAACTGAAATCATTTCAGAAGTACTGCTTTGACCGTCCTTGGGGTGGAGGGCAGAGCAGCAGCATGAAGTGAAACAAGAGCAAAGTCTTTTTACTGTCTGTGGTTTTGCAAACCCCTTGTTGTAAGTCTGAGAGGAACTTAGTATAAATACTTTTGGTTCACTGTCTCCGTAGCTTATTAGCAGGAGGAGACTCTGAGGCTTCTTTCCACACCGCTGAATGCTCTCCTGCCCTTCAGGTATGTTTTAGAGGACAGCAGTCCCTACAGGCGCAAGACAAAGCAAGAAAACAAACTGAATGGAAGACACAAAAGAACTGCCTTTGAAGAAGTGGAGGAGGACCTGAGACGGGCTGGCATGCTGGGAGAGGCTGACGCAGCTGTCAGAGATTCAGACCCAGACCAAAAATTAACTCTAAAACAGCTCCTGGCACGATATAAAGGTGAGCTCTCTCTTAAGCGTAGCAAACTGGCATATTACATCCACCAGCCAGCACGGTGCGCCAGCATATGATATTTAGTGCATGTACATAAATCAGGGTTTTTTGGTTGTCCGCTTAGGCAAGGCACTCACTACTTTCTCGATGAGATCCAGAAACCTCTTGCCGGCTTGAAAAGAACCCATCGTTCTCTTAAACTGGGACAGACACGTTGTCTGAAAGTTGCAGACGGTTTTTAGCATCTGAAGGGGGACAGTTTTCAGCTTTTGTCTCTTTCCATCCTGTTTCAGATGCCTGGTTGACTTCCACTTTCTTCCCTTTATCTGTTCTTGCTGGGGCAGCTTTACATAAAGCACAGCGCCCATCTGCCCGCAGCAGGGAGGTCACTTGGGCATCACAAGCCTTTCAGGAGAAATTTAGTCGTTCTGTGAACAGCTTAATAAGACAGGCAGACCTTTCCATTAGCTGCCCGCTCTGTCAGCATCAAAGTCCTCCCCCTGCTTAGTCCTGAAGAGTTCTTCCCTGCAGATCCTCATGGTAAGCTCCTCAGTGATAACGAGTGAGAGACTTTGCATAAAAGCCTCTGATGCTGGCTAGAAGGTGAGCCTCTCAGGCTCTGAAGGTGACTTGTGAAGGTGGTAATGTCATTGCATGATCAGTCCTGTCTTTTCGTTATAGTCCTTTCGCGGTAGTGCTGAAATCGCCAAAGGAAAATGCGTTTCCTAGAAGGGTAAAGAGATCTGCATGTCTGCTCTCGATATGGTGTAAGATACATTGGAAGGGAGAAGAGAGAGCTTGAGGAGGGAGTCCTGGAGGTATCTGTGAATGGCCATATGAAGGCGTGTATGCCATTCTGCTGGGAGACAAATCCTGGGGTAGGCCCTGTACCAGGTAGGCGTGAGCCCTGGTAAGGCATGACAAAGGAAGGGAAGAGCTGGAGTGGAGGAAAGAATGGAATGGGAGAAAGAGGCTCACTGAGCTACTTAGGGGGCCGTTCGGACTAAGCTGTGTTTGCCTGAGCAGCCAGACTGTGGCTGAGTGTATCCAGCGCGTGCTTTTTATGGGAGATGGTTTTACTGTGTGTTTGATTTATTTTGTCGCCAGGAGTTAACAAGACAGTGTTGAAAACAATGTCTGTCATGGACTTGGACAAAGTTAATCTGGAATTAATTGAAGCCTTGCTGGAGTGGATAGTCGCTGGCAGACATTCATACCCCCCAGGTAACTTCGCTGTCTTTGAAAGATAAAACAAAAGTAGATTCATGGAGGGTGTGGGCTTGAGCAGACAGCACCAGGCTAAACTTTTGAATGCTAAGTTTCCGTAGTTACTGACTATTACTGAAAAAATAAGGTGTTATCTGAGTGGCGAAGCCTCTGGTTTGCATGGGATGGGGAAGATGAGAAAATTTTCTGCTTCTCTGGAAAGTCTTTGGTGAAGGATTGTTACAGCCTGTGTGCTTTTTGTACCGAAATTGTAAAATAGAGCTGCAGTTTTGCCTAGGGCCTTCTGCACGTTAATAAAATATCATGCTAACTATCTTCTGTCCTTTCTGCTGAATGAATTTTTTTTATCCGTGTATCTAGGTGCTGTGTTGATATTTTTGCCTGGTCTAGCAGAAATCAAGATGCTTTATGAGCAGCTCCAGTCCAACGCTCTTTTCAATAACAGGCACAGCAAGAGGTAAGGCAGAAAAGCTCCAAAACTATCAGTCTTTACCCATAAATTAAGAGCAGCTTTCTGCACATTGTCTACCTTTATTCAGGGACAAATTAAGATCACTGAATGTGTGAGACAGCTTGTGATAGGAAGATCTTGACGCCATTCAGAGTAATTCTTGTTCTACTATCTTATTGGATTGCTCTCTGTGTGTTCCCCCCGTCCCGGCCCAAGAAGGTGAAAAGCGTCAAATTTTGTGATCAGTTTAGTTGTTGTTATCAAAGATGCTAACGTTCTCCACTTTGTGCTCTGCATGATCCAGTGGAGTGCTGAAGACGTCACTTCAGCCCTTGTTCTGTTTCAGAAGCCCTGTGGAGACGTGTTCGGTGGTGGTGGTGGTGGTGGTTGTTGTTGTAGCTTTTGCGTTCAGCCTTAAGATTGTTACATGGAGACGTAAATGGATCTCCTTGGCTAAACATTGCTTACACAGACGCCCTCGGCAAGGTTGCCTGGAGTGATTCCTTCTAGTCGGGCATTGCAAGTGGGATCCTCTGGACTCTTCAGGATTGAGACGAGCTAAAACTCTGTCTCTATTGAGACTTGTCTCTTCTGAAAACTTCTGCACCTTCCCCTGGAACATGTCTTACCCGTAACAGGGCAGAGAGGTTTGCTATTTTTATATTCCTTTGATTGGCTATATGCAGTGTCTAGTACTTCTTGGGCAAACGTGTGCAGACAGACTGTTACCAGGAGGGAAAAGGCTGACGATGCTCAGCACGCTCTCTTATTTTCCCTCCAGGTGTGTTGTTTATCCGCTTCATTCTTCGCTGTCCAGTGAAGAACAGCAGTCTGTGTTCCTCAAGCCTCCTGTAGGAGTTACCAAAATCATCATCTCTACAAACATTGCGGAGACGTCTGTCACCATTGATGATGTGGTCTATGTGATTGATTCTGGGAAAATGAAAGAGAAAAGGTACTGGTATTCCTCAGGGCTTTTTAATCTTGGAAACCACTGACTTGAGCTGCAAACTTCCGTTTTCCAATAGAGCTGGGGAAAAGGTGGAGAGGAGCTTGATCTGCAGAAAGCTAGTGTGAAGTGGGGGAAGCCCATCTGGACCAGTTCCCACATCCCATGGCAGGGGTGGGAGTTGCGTCCATTCAGAAGTTGGCAGCATCTGTCTGCTTGAGCTGCAGTGTGTTCGCTCTGCGCTTGTGGACACAAGCCTTTTCTTGCTCTCCTGTAGATACGACCCAAGCAAAGGAATGGAAAGTCTGGAAGACACATTTGTGTCCAGGGCCAATGCCTTGCAAAGGAAAGGGCGAGCAGGCCGTGTAGCCTCCGGAGTCTGCTTTCATCTTTTTAGTAGCCATCATTATAACCATCAGCTTATAAAACAGCAGTTACCAGAAATACAGAGAGTGCCCCTGGAGCAGCTTTGTCTGAGGTGAGTTGTTGTTCCTCTATTGCCTTAAAGAGCCAGCGTGCAGAATGTCCTTTCTCCACTGCAGGGAGTAATCTGCATTGTCATTACCAAGGCTTTCGCTTTCCTCAGGAGTTTTCTGACATCATGAAACCCACAAACTTGCGCTGGAGTTTTAAAGTTCTGTTGGTTGATTGCTTTGATCATGCTATCAACTTGCCACTGTGTCCAGAGCCCCTTCTAACAGCACCCTTCTCCCGTTCTCCCTGTCCTCCTTCCTATTCCTTAATTCTCAGTGGGCGCTAGGCAAAAGGTGTATCTGTCATCACGAGAAGAGGCGGTTGCGTTCCTGTTCTCCAGATCCACTGCAGATGTTTGCCTGGTACACTGTAAACTCTCCCTTGGTGTTTGTGCACAGCGTAGTGCAGTAAAGCCACGCTTTGGATCAAGTACCGCTATCATGTCAGTACTAAATAAAGAGGCCTTCTATCCCTGCCTCGCTCTGTGCACCTCTTCATACAAAAAGGAGGGGAAAGAAAAAAAAACAACACAATTTATTATGGTAAAGACATCAGTAAATACCCGGTGTGCTAAATGGGAATCTGTTTTTACTGACGTTATGAGGTTGGATGAGGTAAAAACTCCCCGCAATTGTTTCCTGTTGCTTCCTGACTTGAATTATGCCTTGCAGGCCCTCTTCTAGAGAGCATGTTTTTAGGAGCGTGTTTCCTGGCTTTTTGATAAAAGCTTGCTGTTTTGACCAGTGTATTAAACCTTTTTTTTTTTTTTTTTTTTTCCCCTCCCTTAAGGATCAAGATTCTGGAGATGTTTTCTGCACAGAGTCTTCACTCTGTCTTATCACGACTAATTGAGCCCCCGAGAACTGAGTCTTTGCGGGCCTCAAAGCTGCGGCTACAAGACTTGGGAGCGTTAACTTCAGATGAAAAGCTCACCCCCTTGGGATATCACTTGGCTTCTCTGCCTGTTGATGTCAGGATTGGCAAGCTAATGCTGTTTGGCACCATCTTCCGCTGCCTGGATCCTGCACTAACTATAGCAGCCAGTCTGGCCTTTAAGTCACCTTTTGTAAGTATTCTGAACCGTAGCTCGGTACTGCGCTTTGAAAGCAGTATGTTTCCATTCAGCAGGGAACGCTGTTGTAGTTTGCAGCAAACTGCTCTTGAGTGTTTTGAGTCTCCTTTTTCGCCTAGACTGTTCATGTGTTAATGTAGCCCTCGGGGGAAGAGTTATAAGCAGATGCCCCAAACCATGCCAACAGTGACAGCGATGTTACTTATATTATGAGTGAACAGCAGAGATAACGTGGATCTTATTTTTAGTTCTAACTTAGCTAAGAAGCACAGCCAGTACGTTTTGTCCAACTTTGGTGTCAAAATTGCAAATCAGTGTTTTTCCATCTTTTGTCCACTATTTGTTGGCGGTTTGACTATTTGTCGCTATTCCACACGCAGTTAGGAACAATCGTGGGACCGTGATAATTATGAAGGAGACACGTCTGAGCTGTGAATGCAGAGTTTGGTTTTGATCCCAGTTTGTGGGTTCACTTTCACTTCAGCTTTTTGAATCAGCTGCTGTACTTACTGGTGCTCCTACTTCTGTGCGACTTCTATTGCCAATGTAGAGACTTTGTATGAAAAGTTAGACTTCCTTGCCAGTGGAGTTTTGATTGCTATGGTTTATATTGGGATAGTTGTGAAAGAGATGGAAACAGATTGTTCTGGTTATGAAATTGCATTTTTCCCCCATATCCTTGCTGGGCATTTTTCTACAGCCTTGTAACTTTAATTGCTGTAAGTCTCTGGGTGATGATATAGATTTAAGCCCAGCTTCTGGAACGTCCTGAGTTGCTGTCGCTTTCTCTCTCTCAGACCCAAGTGAGTGGATTTTAGACTTGCCCTGCCCTTAGCTGTTGTTATGTGCCTTCTCATTTGAGCTTCATTAACTTGTTAAGTTTTCTTAATGGTATTTTTCACAGATCTTGGACTTCTGCAGATGGAGAAAGGTCTGCCCTAAAGGAGGCATTTTCTGTGAGCTGGTCACTCCCAAACGTACCTTTGGGTCTCTTGCTGTTAGGAGACAGGGCAACGGGCTTAGGCGCTCTGCTGTTGACTAGGCTTTTTTGAATGCCTCCTGCTCTCCGTTATCCGTGGAGAGAATTTGCAGACTGGCCTGTGAGCTGCTGACTGACTACCAGAGGTTGTGTGCCGTGCAGATCTTGGGGTGCATTGCCTGAGCTGGGAGGAAGAAGGGCCTTAATCTCTTACTACCTCTCTCTCTAGGTGTCGCCATGGGATAAAAGGGAAGAAGCAAACAAGAAGAAGTTGGAGTTTGCAGTAGGAAACAGTGACTATCTGGCTCTTCTCCACGCCTATAAGGTGAGTTAAAAACCAGGAGCCTCTGTCAGAGGTTTGTGACAATGCTGAAATTCAAGCTGTTATATTTTATTAAAGCTTTCTGCTTGCCTTTTTTTTTTTTTTTTCTCCTCCCCTCTTAATTAGGGATGGCGTTTAAGTACCGAAGAGGGCTCTCAGGCAAGCTACAACTATTGCAGGGAGAACTTTTTATCAGGAAGAGTTCTTCAAGTAAGTTTTTGTGGCCTTGCGCAGGGACGGGTTGAGACGCCAAGGCAGAGTCCTTGTGCCTAAAATGACCAACCTGTTAAGACTCTTTTCCCTCAGTGTGGCACCTTTCACGGTTCTTTGTCTGTTTGTAGGAAATTGCCAGTCTGAAAAGGCAATTCACAGAACTCCTTTCTGATATTGGGTTTGTGAAGGAAGGCTTAAGAGCCAGAGACATTGAGAAGAAGTGTTGCCACGGAGGAGATGGTGTGTCGGATGCCACAGGAGAAGAGGTAATTTCCTACCTTTCAGTGCTCTGAGCAGATGCTGCAGGTTTTGACTTAGCCTGAGTGCGAGCTGTTTTCTCTAGCCTGGTGGGCTTCCAGCCGTGGCCTGGCCTTGTTATCTCACATTAGCACCTCCCGCCTGTTTTGTTCTTCCGCCCTGTACATCGTAATGCAGCTTCAGGGACCTGAGGCTGGGGCTTTTATGCCCTTAGTTCTGTGCAGCAGGATGTGCAGTTTCCACTTTACATATTCACTGTAGCTGTGAACTCCTGACCTGTGCTGAATCTTGGCATTAGTGCAGACCTTGTTTTGGGAACAGAGCTGCATTACAGAGCAGTGAAATGTGTCAGCACTGGCTGAAAATGCTCCGAAAGCGGTACCTTCTGAGCCAGAGATCTCTCAGTGCGACATGACGAGGTGATACAGGTTTGGCAGTTGCAGAGTCTCACTGTGCAGACTTGGGACGGGCTCTGCTTTTTTTCCCTCAGGGGCAAGCCGCTTTGTAGCCAAACGTTAGTGAGCAGTTACGTTAAGCACTAGCTGCAGCAAGATAATTGGTGGCCAATTTGCTCCAGCCTGAAAGTGGGGGGCAGACAGCCTAGGTCTAGCCTGAGGTCTTAGCGCCAGTAACTGGTCCTTCTCTGTAACGTACAGCAGTGCAGCGAAAGCAGGAAACTGTTCAGCAGTTAAATCATTTCAGAAGCAGGGCTTTGCCTTTTGGTTTACCTGTAGAATACCTAATACATGCATTAATTTCACAGGCAAATTCAAATGCAGAGAACATCAAGCTGATCTCAGCTATGCTGTGTGCTGCGCTGTATCCCAATGTTGTCCAGGTAAAAAGAATGCGTTTTTCCTTTTTCCCTTCTTTTGCGTAGCACATCCGCACTGCCGGCTTTGACTCTGTTCTGAAGCTGGCAGATTTTTTTTCCCATTATGAGCTTGAGCCTGGTTTATCTTCTTTGGGTTGACAAAGCTTGCTGCTTGTGGTGTCACGGCTGGGCAGCTGAGCTCCAGTTTGCTTTGTTTGATATCGCTGTCGTTCCTACAGGTTTGCCTTTAGTGCCACACAGATGCCAGTGGCAAATGTTGCTGAGAACCTAGTTCAAATTACAGCTTTTTAGAAGTCTGTGGTTAGAACATGAACAGTCAGGATTAGACAGCAGCTGGAATGTAATGTCCCTCTCCAGTGACCTGACTTGTGACCAGCTGAGAATGTGTATTGTTGATAAAAATAAAAAATTTATTAAAAAAAAAAGTAAATTCAGCTCTCTAGTACGGTGGATTTATAACTATATTTACCTTACCGTGTAGGTGAAAACGCCAGAGGGCAAATACCAGAAGACTAGTGCAGGAGCAGTCAAAATGCAACCAAAAGCAGAAGAGCTGAAGTTTGTTACCAAAAACGATGGTTACGTTCACATTCACCCTTCCTCTGTGAACTATCAGGTCAGGATTCTTTTTTTCTGCAAAGCACACTGTTTTTTATAACAGGAATCACCTTTGTTTGAGCAGTGAGGGTCCCTAGTGATGTTAAAAACAAGTAAGTAAATGAAGCAACTCCTTGACTGAACAGTCCTACTGTCAGGATTGTAAATAATGGTGTGTGGGGTGGAGGGGGGGGGTGTATGTATTTGTCAGAGGTAAGTGTGTCCTCTGAGGCGCACAGTTAAACTCTAGCTTACGGAGCAGAATTAGTAGAGGCAGTAACCTCCCAGGCGGTGTTTTCTTACAGCTGCGTCTGTAATGCTACACACAAAAATTTTGCAGTTAAAATACTCTCCAGCCTTTTCCTCACGCTGACTGAGATTGCACGCACGGGGGTAGCCTTCCTACGTGCAGGTGACCCTGACCCCTACAAGACTTTGGTCTCTCCAGCTGAAATATTATTTACTGGTAAATAATTCATGGCTCTTCATGGCCTTGTTTCTTGACCTCAATGCAGTTAATTTCCTTTTTAGCCTGATAGCTAATTTTTAGATTATAGGTCTTCTCCTTCTACCACGATACATGGTAACGCTTGTCTAAAGAAGTCTGTCTCCGTATTCATTACTTTTCCAGGAAATCAAATACTTGCTTAAAAAAAGCCGTCTTACATCATTAACTCTAGGGTTATAAAGGCTGTGAGCTGTTCATCCCTGTTATTCTGAAAGAGCATAACAAACCAGCTGCACATGGCAGATTTCTTTAGCATGAAATGGAGAACTGGGGGCCTTGAGGCAACATTGTTAAATTAGCCCATTTCTCCCACGCCCGCTGCAAAGGGGGAAGGAGCAAGGGGTAACTGGCAGACATGACTTTGCCGGCAGCTCTCACGGGGTGAAGGGAGTCTCTCAGGCAAGTGCGTGTCAGGAGTAGAAATGCACCCTTAGAGGAGGCGGCAGGCGGCCTGTGCAGGCAAGCAGGCCCGTATTTGCCTGAGCGAGTAGATTGGCTTTGTTCCTTAACGGCGGCGGCCCTGCAACGAGGATGTCGCGTACGTGTGCTTTATACCTAACTGCAGCCCTTTGGGCTCTGCCCTTCCAGACGAGGCACTTTGAGAGTCCCTACCTGGTGTATCACGAGAAGATCAAGACGAGTCGCGTGTTCATTCGAGACTGCAGTATGGTGTCAGTGTACCCGCTGGTCCTCCTTGGGGGCGGGCAGGTTCACATGCAGCTGCAGAAGGGAGAATTTGTCATTTCTCTTGATGACGGATGGATCCGATTCGTGGCTGCCTCGCATCAGGTAATGATAAGAAGCGATAATCCTGCGAGGGGTTCTGATGTGGGCTTATGTTTAGAACGCAGGAGACGAGCCTTACGCTCGTGTCTGTATCTCTCTGTGTGCGTTAGGTGGCTGAGCTGGTGAAAGAACTACGCTGTGAACTAGATCAGCTGCTGCAGGATAAAATCAAGAACCCCAGCATGGACTTATGCATGTGCCCCCGTGGATCTCGGATCATTGGCATGATTGTAAAGCTTGTGACCACACAGTAAAGTGAGAACACTTTCCTATAAAGATGCTATTTGCTACTGCCTGAGAACAGACTGAGTTAACGTCAGTGTCTCTGTATAGTCAAAACATGGTGCTGATCTCTGGAAGATCAAGTTGGCAACTGTACTATTCACTTTTTTTTTTTTTTTCTCCAAACCTTTGACTATTTGCAGAGAGCTTACTTGTGGAAAAGAAGGTATCTTACAGTACAAACTGGGAAACAGGAAAATGGAAAATCTCACAGGAGGAATAGAAACCTCCAAGCAAGAAAACGAAGTGTTTGTTCATGAAGTTCTATGCTGACAATATGCTTTCTGGTCACAAAAAATACTTGCTACCTTGCTGCTGCTTGTGATAGTAACAGCTGGAGGCAGCATGAGACTTGGAAAGCCGCTCCCCAAATTGGTCTGAACTCGCTCCTGCTTTTTGGCCGAGACTTCAGCGAGATAGTCTGTGTTGGCTCAGCAGGGATTGACTTGCTTAAGGATCAAAAGCCCTTAAAAAGGTGGGAGCCTGTTCGTTCGTGTCAAGGGGTTCCGGACTGCGTTTACAGAGCCTCCTCTAGCAAGGAGATACTATGACAGTGTGGTTCAGTTAGTTGGAGTAATTCATTGGACCAGTGCAGACTGCTTCTAGTTAAACTGTAAAACTGCAGAGGAGGGTGGAAGCTTCCTCCGAAAGACCTGCTTTTCAGGCCCCCCTGAACTGTGCCAAGAGCAAAACCGCTGAGATGGACTGCTGTAGCCTATTAAAAATGGATGCTTGGGTGGACAGTATTGCTCACTGTTAAACTCTTCTGGTGGGAGGTAGTCTTCCTGCCACCCCATACAGCTGAAAGGAAGTCAAGGTTTTTTAAGTTTTGCAGTTTTTAGCCAAACTCCTGCTCTGGGGAGTGGGCAGATACAGAAGAGTGTGGAGAGTGCTGCAGTAATAATGAGATATTACTGCTTCCCTTCTGCATACTTCTAGCTGATCTGCATGGAGTAACAGCAATTGCCTTAGCAATTGCCAATAATAGCAAGTGCCTTAAGTGAAATAACTTTGACTACTGTCATCTGTAATAGGAAAATCACAGTAAACAGGAAGTGGCTGTACCAGCAAACCTGCCTAGGAATAACCATCAAGCTGAGCAGCAAGGAGCAGAGGGAGGCAGATCCTTTCAGGACTAGTTTGCTTTCTCAGAAACACACTCAAGTGTTTGTAGACCCCCCGTTTCACAGAGACACCCCCTTGCATAAGGAAGAAAAGGGGAAGAGAGCACCAAGAATGAAGTACTGGCTCGGTACGGTGGTCTCTGCAGGTATGTTGAACTGCAAAAGGCTAAGCTTTTCCATT